TATATATATATATATTAGTAAAGATTTCACAGTTTAAAATGAGTGCCATTTTTTTCAAAAATAAAAAAAATTGCCGATTTTTGACCATCTCGTAAGATATAAAAGACGAATCTCTTAGTGAAATTTCTGCCCAATTCAACAAAAACTGCATTAATTAGGCATAAACTCACTTCTGAGTATTAGTTGTGCCTAAAAACGCTAATATTACTGCTACAGAGTGTTTTTTTTCTTCAAAACTTTTGTTAGGATCATATTTGACGCTCTGGACGAAGTCTATGCTCTGATTTGCCCTAGACGAAAACTATGCCCTTTCGACGTCTTGTGCAAATAATATGCCCTTTTTTATAGTTCAGACGAAGACTATGCCCTTTTTTTCGGATCCTGGCGAAGCCTATACCTTTTCCCTAAGTCTGCACAAAAACTATGCCCTTTTTTCTAGTCTAGACGAAAACCATGCCTTTTTTTGGTCCCAGAGGAAGACTATGATTTTTTTTAGTCCGAGCGAAGACTATGCCCTTTTTTCCGAGTCTGGCCTAAAACTATACCCACGTCTGGACGAAAACTAAGTTAAAAAACGTCCAAGTATTACTGACTGGCCCCTCTTGTGTTGTACTTTCCCTAAAACAAAAAAAAACCTCCAGTTTTACTGATTCATGCTTTTGGAGGCTAACAGACACTCGTACGCTGAAAGAAGCGCACGAATACGAAGCTCCTAAAAACGATTCCACATATAATATTAAGGTTTCATGAGACTTGTGTCCAAGTATTTACGGATGCCTTTGTAAAAAAAATAACACGTAATCGTTATTCTTAGCAGTCTATTACTTAGCAGCGGCTTTAGTATTTTGAGTTTGAGTAAGTGTTGGAAAAAAAAAGAGAATAATCTTTTTTAAAATATAATTTATACATCTAATTACAAACACAAGTGTTAAGTGAGCCTAAATGAATTTCACTTCATCTGGGCTCAAGAAATGGTCATTATCTTCGTACAGACTCGCAGAAAATAGAATAATCTTCACTCGGACTAGAAAAAAAGCATAGTTTTCGTCTGGACTAGACAAAACAACACAGTTTTCGTCCGAACTCTGGAAAAAGGCATAGTCTTCGTGTGAGGACTTAAAAGAGCATAGTTTTCGTCCGGACAAAACAAAAGGGCATCATTTTCGTCCAAACTCCGAAAAAGGGCATAGGCTTCGTCCGGAATTCCCAAAGGGCACAATTTTTGTTCGGACTAGAGTAAAAGGCAAAGTTTTCGTCCGAACTTAGGAAAAAGGCATAGTTTTCGTTATGGCTTCGAAGCAGGGTATAGTCTTCATCCGGGGCGTCGATATTTTAGATGTATTTTATAATTAAAATTGCATAACGTAAATGGCAACCCAAGAAGCTCATGTTAAAATTTTCTAGAAAATGTATATTTTGCGTCATGTAAACGATAAAACTTTTTTTTCTTATATTACCACAGCAAAGTATCATGTCATGCATGTTCCTGAAGTAGAATACAAGTGAACAATTTTTATATTTTTCTTACATTTTTAATTCAGATATGTTATAACAGAGCTTCTTCAGAGTGATCTTCATAAAATTATTGTTAGTCCACAGCATCTCAGTTCTGATCATATAAAGGTTTTTCTTTATCAAATTCTTAGAGGTAAGAATCTCATTCATATTATTAATAATAATTCACGTTATTTATTATTATATGTCAGTAAAAAATTACATCTTTTGCGTACTTAATGTGTAAAAGTCTGACAACCCAATTATCAGTAAGCAAAATGTAAAGATACAGTACTTTTAAACACACTGAGTGTTACAGCGGACCTTTACAGCAGTTAAAGTAATATTTCAAGTACACAAAATTGTTGATGTTCTGATTTTTTTTAAATACATCGAAAATTGTTAACAATACAGTCACAATTTTATATATATGAATCTCTTCATCGTTAAAATTTATGAAAAACTGTTAAGTTAAAATATATAAAACATAAAATACATTGATACAGATAAATCTTTAATATTCTGCAAATTATGACAAATTATTTATTTCGTAACAAAACATAAACTGTATTCAAACAAACATTGCTTTATGAATTAAGTACAGTTTACTTTACGATTATTTTTTAAAACATCTAAACTAATTACCCACACGATTTTGAAATGCAAATGCCTATGTACTGTGCGTGTATGTGTGTGTCAGACACGCATTTTGTAAGTTAGACTGTTAGTTGGGACTTAGCTAGAAGGAGCTAGAAAGAGTTTGGTGAAGCTTGGATCAAAATAACTGTTTGGCACTAGAGTTAACGATGAGTAATTGATGTGCGAAACACATGATGGCGCGTGACATCATCTTCTACAAAGATGTAATAAGCGGTGCACTGAATCTGTGTAGAGAGGCTCGTGTGTTACCCGGCCGTTACTACACTTAATTCCGTAGAAAGTTCTACAGAATTAGGAAAGACAACACCACATATCTAGGATCCAATCTTAGCCCTGCGTGTGTGTACTGACTCGTGGTTGTCACGTGACTACTGCTAAGAGCTTGGCTTAGAATGATGAGCTACTGAGGGTTGAAGCGCAAGCTACACGCATTGACTAACTGCCATTTTGAGCCATTTTTTTCGAACCTAATAAGTCGCGTTCTATACAATATTTAAAGCTGAAATTTAGTCACGAGTCAGATATTATAGTTCTTAACGTACACGCAAAATATTAGCTTACTCAGTTTGAAACTTTTCACGAACCGCAGCAAAAACCGAAAAAAGGTCCTCTCGAAAAATAGCCACAAAAAAGTTGTTAGCCAACATAAATAGAATAGTTAAAATAAATGGCGTTTTAGGTGGTTTTAAAATAAATATAGACGAAGCGAAATAAATTTGAAAAATGTACCTATGTTGGCTAACAAGTTTTTTATGGCTATTTTTCGAAAGGATCTTTTTTCAGTTTTTACTACAGTTCGCGAAAAGCATTAGATCCGAGTAAGCTGAAATGTTGTGTGTATGTTGAGGACTATAATATGTGACTGGTGACCAAATTTTAGCTCTTAATATTTTATAGAACTCGAATCATTAGGTTTAAAAAAAATGGCTCAAAATGGCAGTTTTTTGCGATTTGCGAAAAAATGGCTGAAACAATCTGAGCCCATTGCGGCTCATTTTGTTTGTCTTAAAATTTAACATCTTTTACATGCAAGACTTTCTAATGTACGATCCTTCGGTTTTCTTCGAGACGCGAAAAACATATTTTGGCCATTTTTGTCATTTTTGGGGGCTTTTGCTGACATTTATACTTGAATAGTCATATGTCAGAATAGTACTATATCAGAATTTTCTGGTCCGAAAAAATAATTCTACTATGCTGTCATGAGAACACTAAATTACTATTCTTCTACACACTCCTTAACGTGGCTGATTTACTTAATAGCACTACAGCTGTTTTCTACGTGATCTTCGCTTATACCAGTTTAGAGCTGAAGTTTTACCGTTTGTTGACCACCATATCTTAAAAAAAAAATTTTTTTATACTGTACCACGGGATAATAAACCTGATCAGTTATAACCTTATTTTAAAGAAGGACAAATATTTCATAGCAATCCTTTGTAAAGAAGAACCAAGTGAAAGAAATACTTCAACGGGGCTGTTAGAAGATAACAGAGTTTTTTACATTTCGTAAAAATAGTTTTTCACAAAAAAACATGGTTCGTGTATTGCAGGATATTTGGAAAAGCTGCCAAGGAGATGAAAAATAAAAATGGGTGAAAGTTGACCTTGTTTCTATCTTTAAAACCACAATAATCGATCTTGCACTTAATTTGGTGTTTTCTTCTTTATTTGTTTTTTTTTTTTTTGAACACCCATCTTGGGTCAACGGTGTTTGATTTGCCACCATTAGTATTCACTGTTAGTTTATTAACTATCGTCTATACGTGTAGGTCCCTTTACATTTTCTTTAGGAGACACTTTATTCTTTTTTCATCGTTTTCACTTTTGGTTTTATATCTTTCATGATGTTCTCTTAGCTTTCTGTCTTTCCTTTTCTACACATGTCTTTCAAAATCAATTTTCATAAAATTTTTTATATTCTAGTTAAAGAGCGACATAGCAAGTGGGTGTGTTGACAACTTACAAGACTAAATACTTTGTGGGCTAAATTTTAGTCCCATATTCCTTTGGGTATTTACAAACCCTATTCAACGCAATCTTTTGATTTGAGCTACGTTTATCTTAGTTTTAGGGGCAAATTTCTGTAAAGAATCTGTCGTATTCCATTTGTAGGCTATAAGATTGTAGGCGTAAATGGCAGCACTGAGAGCTAGATCCCACATTTTCAGACCTTGATGAAAAAGTGAACATAAGTCTCTGCATGTAGCTAATACAATTACCTCTGTTGCCAGTACTAATACACTTGCCTCATTATTAGAACGAAGTCCAGCCACACCTATTAGTCTCAGGCACGCTACGCCCAATCTGTCACACCAAGGAGCTATTGAAAATACTAGAAAGATTACTAAAATAGAGAAGCTGGAGCCGCCACTGTTGAGATAGCATAAAAACTAACTGAGTCTTTCAAAATCATTCAGTTCCAGTAAAATCTATTGACACTTGAGCTACTTAGGTAAATAAAATTTTTTTATAATTGAATGATACATCTAAGTTATTACGAAAAGAAACAATCACAAAATGATTTAGCGGAATCTGCATTAATTACATGAAACAAAATCACCAAAATCAACCTAGAAATTTAATTTCAATTATAAAATTTGTACAAAAGAGCTTATTTGTATTAACAGTTTAATAAAATACATAATATTTTAAAGTAAGAAATTAAATACAATCCTACGGCCTGTCAATATTATCAAGGTGAGTGTTTGTGTGTAAGTGTGTATGTTTGCATTTTTTTCACGGTTAAACGGATGGATCAATTACTATTAAATTTGGAATGTAGGTAGCTGACATCCTAAACTAAGACATAGGTGACTTTATTTTGAAGTTTCTACGGGAACACCGATGTATCGTCTAAATTGCTCGCATGTTGAAGAAAATTCGTAGTGATGTACTGTTATCGCATACCAGACGATGGCGGTGGCAGTGGTTGTAGCGGCTGTTTGGTGCTAGAGAGGGTGAAAGAGGAGAATGGCAGATGATGTGATACATATAAATATGAATCGCATATGTAAATATGATATGTATAACTTTTAGTGTTACTGCCACACGAGGCCGGAATATGGTGGAGCCAATCAGTGCAGAGCAACCGGATCTGTCATTTTTCTCTACATAAATCTCTAACGTAAAATAAATAAACTTTTTTTTTGTATTCTTGTTAAAACTTAATTCTTACATGTTAAAACTTCTAGAAACTCTCAAACAAGAAATATCTGAAATTGATTTTTTAAAAAGAAAATAAAATTTATAGTAACAAACACTTGAGTAGTTGGCATTGTTATACTAAGAAAAGAAGTTTAATTAACATAGCTTTTTGATGCAGACTACTCTGTTGCTTAACCAAATCGTGAGGATGCTGCATCATTTTTAATAATGGACTTCAGTTGTCAAATCTTTTTTAGAATTGTTCAGCTGATTATTAATATTTTGAATCCATTTTTTTCTTTAATCTTGATAACATAGGTACTGACATAAAAATTACGAATCATCTGAAGGTCCTTCTGATCCCAGTCATTCCAGGTTCATCATATACTGGCTATGGTTATCAGATTTGGAATTACTTATTAAACGTTAGCGATACGTACTCTATCTGATCAAACCAAGGTAACAACCAGGCAATACACAGCGAGAAAGAATCCTTGCTTTTACGTTGTGTTTACTGACAACACGTCACTCTCGACGGCATCGTTAGTCGTTACTTGCAACGATGATAATATTTATTAGGTGCTAATACTACCGACGCAGCAAACAGTGAGTTGTTTCTTTTTGTGGTCTCACGCATGATCACTCAGTCTGTCAACTTCGCTGCGTGAGTGCGTTCGTGCGAGTGAGCGTGCACTAACACTTTAATATCCCCCCTGGACCCAGACGGGCAGACATATACGGGGCCAGACGCTGCCAATGAACATATGCGAAATAGTATCCTTTAGAGAAGATTTATATTGTACGTATGGACTACATACTACTTCAATACATAGTCTAACTTTCCATGTTGACACGACTGATTAAATTGAACCCAGATTTTCTACTAAGATCTGAGGGTTTCTCTTTATTTTCTCTATTTCTTTCAACTGTTGTCCTACCCATACGGTTCTAGCCCTAAAACATAAAATAGTAATCCTTTTTTTCTGTTCTCACTCCCATTTATTTTAGGCTCTTAAGCCCCTTAATTGGTTAAAGAAAAGAGAAAAGAAAAACGAAGAAAATTCTACCATTTTATATTTTATTTTTATTTACTTGTGTTGTTTTGTTTTATTGTTAAGCGTTTATACAAACGCCTAAGTGGTATAATTGCTTAAACATGCTCCAAAAAAGCTTATCCTAGTACAATCTCGTACCAAGACTTAATTGGTTATTACGGAAAGTTACGAGTGTGGCTCTTTCTTTACATTTAAAGTATATCGTTCAGGACAATATTAATTTAGTATTTATATGTGTATATTTTTGTTGCACTATGTATGTCTAACCCTTAAAAATTCTCTGTTTCCCTCA